CTGCCCTCAGCTGCCTACACACTTAGAAATAGAGTCCTAGGTGACAGGACCTGAGCTTTTAAACAAAAAAACAGGGAATCTCCAAGCCCACCAGAGTATTTAAGCCTGTCTATTCCTCACACATATATACGTAAACAGAGTTATATATATATATACATGCACACACAATCTTGTAAACATACATGTATATAATTAATTCACATGCACATCTTAGAATAGAATGTAAGGGGACTTCCCTGGTGGCACAGTGGTTAGGAATCCACCTGCCAATGCAGGGGACACGGGTTCGAGCCCTGGTCCAGGAAGATCTCACATGCTGTGGAGCAACTAAGCCCGTGCGCCACAACTACTGAGCCTGCGCTCTAGAGCTCACGAGCCACAACTACTGAGCCCACGTGCCACAACCACTGAAGCCCGCGTGCCTAGAGCCTGTGCTCCGCAACAAAAGAAGCCACTGCAATGAGAAGCCCGTGCACCACAACGAAGAGGAGCCCCCACTCGCCGCAACTAGAGAAAGCCTGCGTGCAGCAACGAAGACCCAACGCAGCCAAAAATAACATAAATAAAATAAATTAAAAGAAAAAAAAAAGAGGGCTTCCCTGGTGGCGCAGTGGTTGAGAGTCCGCCTGCCGATGCAGGGGACACGGGTTTGTGCCCCGGTCCGGGAGGATCCCACATGTCGCGGAGCGGCTGGGCCCGTGAGCCATGGCCGCTGAGCCTGCGCGTCCGGAGCCTGTGCTCCGCAACAGGAGAGGCCACAAAAGGGAGAGGCCCGCGTACCGCATAAAAAAAAAAAAAAAGAAATATTTGTTGAAAGAAAGGCAAATAAGAGAACATGTACTTGCAAATAAATGTATACATACAGCTATATACACATATAACAACACATCCATATATACAGTGCTTATGTACACACATACATATATGCACCTACATGGTTATCTACATACATATATCTGCATTTAGATAATCTACATACATAACATTATGATGTACATACATATATATACATACATATACCCAGTGCATGCAGACACATATACACAAATAGTATGAACATATTATAGATATCACATATATACTACATATACATGTGCACCTTCACATACATATATGAATACAAATCAAGCACCTTTTTACTCAAATTTTTCCAGTCAATTTAACGGTCTCAAGACCCTAGGCCCAGGTTTGGCTGCTACAACCAGAAATGACCACCAGATGGCACTCTTTCACCACTTCCTGTTCTCCCAAGGGTTGCCAGAGGTGTTGCCAAACATGTCTCTCTCCGCCTAGGCCCAAAGCTTGCAGAGCCGGTGTACCCCAGGCACTGCCCTGACCCCTACGTACAAGACTGATGCGCTTGTCCTTGGTGCCCAAAGCCTGCAATCTCTGCCCTCTCTGAAATCAGATTCATCCTCTTGGGCCTCCAGGCTTCTGTTGGAGAAGTGGACTCCCCTTTGGGGCTCCAGTTCTGCTCAGCCCTCAGATCCACACACACATACACACACCCCGTTCACCAAAGAGCTAGCGGTTGGGCTTCACCTGGACTCCCTCGACTCAGACCAGCGCGGCTCAAGGACCCTTCCTTGAAACCTTCGAACTAACAAGCAACCGGCTTCAGTGGCCCTATTCCCCAAAATGGCCCAAGGAGTGAGTCGGGGACATTTGGACACTTGTAGGACCTACACACCGGTACACACAGCCCCCTTTGGCGGCTTACTCCCCACATCCTGCCTGGGACGCCCAGCCGGGTCAGCCAAAAGCTGGGAGGAGAGTGGCTAGGTCCTGGGACTTAGTAGCCTCTGCCTGGGAGCGGCTGGTCCCGGTTTAACCCTTCCTGCCCCGGTCCAGTCTTGACTTCAGACCTCTGGTTCAGAGCTGGAAGGGACCGCATTTGCTCATCTTAGGCAAACTACTTAAAATCCCGGAGATGGGGGAAGTAGGATGGGGCAGAGCCTCTCCTGCCTCCAGGCCTAGACCACTGCGAGTCAGCTCCCCTGGAACCTCATACGTTGGGTGTGAGCAACCTAGGACGAAAAACGCGAGGAAGGCTTGGAAACCCGTGGGGAGGCGAAGTCGGGAGTTCTGGCAGCAGCTCGGCTTCCCCCTCCACCTCCTCTCTCCTCCTCTGGGAGCGGCGGGAAATTATTTATTAAAACGCCGTCCGCGTTCTCATTTGTTTGCGGAGAATAATCCTCGGCATTGCAGCGCGTTTATTAAACCTTTCCCGTCCCAGAAATCCTTTAATAATAAATCGCGTGTCACTTTCCAGCGACGTTATTAAAGCCGGCCCGCTGGAGCAGGTGGAGGGGTGTGCGCAGCAGGGGTTCCTCCTATTCAAGGCTGTGGGGCCTGAACCTGTAGCACCGCGGAGGGGGAAACTGAGGCTATAAGGAGGCGGCACCTGAACATCCTGTAATATCTGCAAAAGTGATGGAGGAGTACGGGTTCTGGGGGATGCGTGTGACCCCCCTAGGATCATGCGGAGCCTCTGCTCTGCAAGTGGGCGCGGTAGGATCGATGGGCCCGCCAGGGGGCGCCTTCGAGCCCAGCTGGCCGGGAGTCGGCGGCGAAGAACAAGTCAGTGGCGGATCCCCTAGCTGCTGGGGGACCCAGACCCCAGTCCCCTCTTTCAGCGCGGAGCAGACTTCCTTCTGGGCCGGACGCTGAACGGCCTGACCCTCCTGCCCCCACCATACTGCTCACATCCCTATCCCTACTTTCGCGGTCGACTTAGAATTCTCCCCAAGTATCCAACCCGCTCGAGCTGTTGAGTGCTGCTCCTGGAAACGCCGGACTCCAGCCAGGACTCGGCAACGAGAGCTGTCCTCTGGCTTAGCCTCTGGACGAGTCCTGAGGTTCTGCGGGAGGGGCAGCCAAGCCCTTGGGTTGGGGTCCGGGCCACGCTCCTCCCAAGAGGCCAGGCTCCCTGCGTTGGGCCCTAGAGGACAAGCTCAGACACCGAATCAACTGCGACCGCTCCCGTTGTGTGGCGCCAGGCTTCGGGTGGAACTCGGTCGCGTAGGAGGCCTTCGACACCCACACACGGGGGTCTTGGCCTCGCCAACTTAACCTTTCATTTTCTCCTTTAGTCAGTCAATAAACACTACGCCTCACCAGTGTCCCTGGGCGAGGTAAGGGGAGTGTGGAGAGAGATTTCGGGAGCAAAAGAGTACGGCTCTGTGAGGCACCTCCAGCCAGAGAAGATAAGTCACAGTTGGGGCAGACGAGAAAACAAGCTTACCATGATTTTGTCTGGGTTCGCCTGGGAAATGGGTGGCTTCGTAGGGAAATCCTAGGGTGTGGCCCATACATGTGACCAAACTTCTCCCCTCCTCCATCCAGTTTATGCTTTCATACTGGGTCCTACCCACATAGATCTGGTTTCCCACTCTGCCTGGGGAGGGGACAGAGAGGCAGGCAATCTATCTCTAGACCAGCCCCAATGGAGTGCAGACTGGGGGGATACCCTCCCTCCCAACCAGATGGCTCCAACCTTCCTGCCTGGGGCGGGGGGCGGCCCCAGCTCAAGCTTCCTCTACGTCTGGCAGGCATGTGCTTAAAGAGCAGGACCTACAGCTTCTGGAAGCCAGAGTCCTACTACCCTGGGAGGCCTCCCAGAGAAATGCAGTCTCTGTGTGCAAATCTGCATGAACCATCTGTCTCAGTTTGTTCATAAATCTTTATTGTGTGCCTACTGTGCCTAGTCTTGTGCTAGGCATCGTCCAGTACAAAGCGATATAATATATGGTACTGCCCTCATGGAGTTCCCAGAATGACAGGAAAATCAGACATGCCCAAATGACCATCTTACTGCACTGAGCTAAACCACGCTCTATCGTGCCTTCCTGGACAGCAGATGGCAAACAGCAAAGAGGATTGCAGTTAGTATGTGCAATTGGGACTTAGAGAGAGGGAAATTTTCTAGAAGGTGAGTTTCAAGAAAGGGTAGACTGAGGTTAGGCAAAGACTGGGGACTAGGAAAATAACCGCAGGAGCTGTGCAGAAGGGCAGTCAGAAGACTGGCTGAGCAGAGCTGAAGGGAGGGCTGCTGGAAAGAAGTAGAGGATCCTGTTGTCTGCACCCCACTCCTCCCCACCCCTACCCCCCACCCCCCACTCAGCCTAGAGACCAGCAGGCAGCTCTTGCCTAATGCCTGGTTGGTCCACACAGGAGACTGTCCTGGCCAGAGCACCTCCTGCATGGGCCCTTCTGCAACCCACCTCCCCTAGTCTCTGCCTCTCTCCTTACCCTCCAACTTTTGTCTCTTCACCACCATCACATCTCCCCTACTAAGGGCATTAAAGCAATCTGTGAAGGGGCCCTGCTCCCCCTTTCTAGATCTTTTCAAGAGCAGGGTTGAAAACTATCCCCACTCACCCACCCCCATGGGCCACGGCTCTGGACCTAGTAGTAATCCTCGGCCTCTTCACTCTCAGCCTCCTTCTCAGGAAACAGGTGCAGGAATGACAGCTGGGGGATGCCTGTGGAGTTCAGCTGGTCTGCAAACACATGGGGACAAAGGAGAGAGAACAGGAAAGAGGGCGGTCAGTGCCCATGTATGCCAGTCTGTGAGAAAGCCTTGCTTGTGTGTGTACCCACATGCATATACACACATGGACACACATTCAAAGGCATGAATCCACCACCTTCCCCCAGCCCCCAGAGCTCAGGGCTCTCCCTTACCCAGTGTGAGCACTGTCAGGCTAGCTGGGGCCTCAACCTGGCCGAGGGCATTGCGGGCCAGGCAGCGGTAGATGCCCTCATCGCTAGGACGCACAGCCTGGATCTGCAGCCAGCCCGTCACCTCAAACCTCTGGGGTCCACCCCTAAACTGGAGCCAGGAGGAGTCAGCAGCATTGTTCTAGAGGGACCATGGGCTGCCCCGGGGAGGCCTCTGCTCCCTGTCCCTACCTGCACAGAGATGTGGGGGTCATCCCCTGGCAGCTGAATGTCCAAGCCGTCCTTTCTCCACTCGATGGAAGCCATGGGGTAGGCAAACACTTCACAGCCAAAGATCACATCCTGCCCTGTCACGTTCCAAATGTCATATGGATGCGACACAATCTGGGGCTCTGGGGGTGGAGATAGGAGGCCTAAGAACAGGATGGCACATCCAGCCCAGCAAGGACCCCATATACAAACCATTTTGAATGTGTTTGTGAGGGAACACATATATGCTGAAGTAAATACACATCCATAAACATGACATGACACATACACAAATGTAGCTGCAGGTACACACAAGGGTGGGAACACAGTGATGGAAATGCACAGGCAGACAAGATGCGCAAACAAGCACAGAGACCCACACCTCAGCTTGGCAACCACACTCTGTCCCTGATTGTTCCCCTGTCCTCATTCCACCCTCTAGGCCCCTACCCTGCTGGACTTGTAAGCAACACCTCCCTCCCCCACACCCTCCCCCTTCTCTAACCAGGTCCTGCTGCCAAAGGCCTGAAGATCAGCCCTTCCCCCACCCCACCCTGGTGGCGGGGCAGTCCACGTGGCAAAGGCAAGGACACTGAAATCAATCTGGGCAGCAGGCAGAAAGCCTGGGGTCGTGGGGGTAACCTCCAGCAGAGCGTTTACTTTTCCAGCAGGCCCAGCCAAGCCAGACCCCTCAAAGGGGCTCAGGAAGTGAAGGTTACTAGAGCTGCCAAAGAAAACTTGAGGCTTGAATAGACCTCAGCCCGCTGGGATGGGGGAGGAGCAGTTAGAAGAGTCCCCCTGCTCCACTAAGCCCTAAACGCAGAGGAAAGGGGAGCGCGGGGCAGAGGCCCAGAGACTAGGTTAACTAAGCACTGGCTCTACGGAGCCGCCCAAACGAAACCGGATTGCTCTCACAGGAACCCAAGTTTCCCTGCCTGAATTCTAGTGGTCTGGGCAAAGTCTGAGAGTCTCTCTTCACTCTCTCAATTTTGAGGCCAAGCGTTGGCTATGTGCCTGCTCTCTCAGAGGGTTGGTCTCTGCCAGCCAGGTCTGGAGCTTTCACGCGCCCCAGCGCACGCTGCTTATTGACAAAGCTCCGGACCCGCACCTTCAGGCGGTGGCTTCTGCGGACCGGCCCCGAGAGCAAACTCTTATAATGAACTCGAGGCCTCCCTGGCGTCTTTTTCGCTCCGCTGGCCAGAGACCAATGCCGTCGGGGACCGGGGAGCAACGCCTTGAGGAAACCCAAGTGACGGGGGTCGGGGTCGTGGGCCGTGCGTACCCGATTCGCAGGGCCCGGGGTGCGCCACGGTGAGGTTGGCGTCCGGCCGAGCGCGGGCCGCCTCCTGCAGGCGGCAGATCTGAGCGTAGGTGCGGCCGTCGGAACCGCAGAGAGGGCGCTGCGAGCGGCAGGCACACAGCGGCTCGGGCACCTCTCCGCGGCTCAGGTCGCCACCAGCGTCCAACTGGCACTCAAGCTGCTCGCCGCAGCGCCCGTAGAAGTGGGCACTGGGGTCCAGGTCGCAGAGCTGGCCCTCGAGATTGGCACATTCCCAGCAGCAGCCGCACGCGTCGCGCACCCGGCCGGCCAGGCAGCCCCGCGGCGAGGCGCACTCTTCCGGCCGGCAGGGAGCGCAGCCCTCGCCCTCCGCCAGCAGCCGTAGCCAGCCGCGCCGCAGGTAATCGGGGCCTAGGGATGGCCGCGCGCCAGCCGGGGACGGCGTCCGCACCACCAGGAGTAGCAGCAGCAGCAGCAGCAGCAGCAGCACGGGCAGCGGCAAGGCAGCTGCGGGCGGCTGGGGCATGATTAGCTGGAAGCCTCGAGAGCACTAGGGGCTTCAGCGTGTGTGTGGCACCCTGCCGGGGATGGAAACCAGGTCAGGAGGTCAGAAGCAACCTCCTTGTTACTCGTACCAACTTGGACCCTAGCACTGCCCCCTCCCCTGCTACCTTGGAGTCAAGTGTCGAAGGGTCATAGGAGGGGTCATCCAGTTACGCTGGGTGGTAATTGATTGGGCTGTTCTTGGGGGTTGGGGAGAGGTGAGAGGAGGGAGTGATAAAGCTCAAGCACACACGCGCACCACCACTACTGCCACCACCACCACAAACCATCCAACTTTGAAGCTTCCTGCCCTAGAGGTGGGTGGGAATGGCTGGTCCCAGGAGGAAGGAGTTGTTAATAAGGGTGGAAAGGGGGTGGAGCGGGGGAGGTTGTGTGTGTTAGGGTGGGGGTGGGGATGGGGTGATGCCCTGGGGCCCAGAGCGCTCACCTGGTGTCCGGGACTATGCCCCTCAGAGCAGACGTGACTCCTGTCCGAAAAAGCAGGCAGTGGAAAGGAATCGGGTGGGCCCGCCAGCCACCTCTGCTCCGACTTGAGAACCTCTGACAGAGTCCACGGACTTGCACTCAGAGAGCAGCTCCTCCGCCCCCTCTCCCCGCCCCTCGACGTTGCATACCCCACCCCCTCCCCTAGTTCTGAAGCTGCTAATTTTAAGCAGCCGCACGGGACCCTCCTGGGCCACTTCCCCCTAGCCTGGTCCAAACTCACAGTAAGAACAGAACAGCAGTAACCGGACACCCAAGCTGGGAAAGGACTAGAGATGGGGTGGAGTGAGGGTTCGGAGTAGGGGATGGGAGGGTGGGGGGTAGCTGGAAAGTTAGAGTTGGTTGAAAGGCTAGGCCCTGTCCCATCTGACTTTACAGTCCCATCCGCTAGAGCAGCTGCAAAAATGACAAGGAGGTAGGAATTCTTGTGCCAAATCGGGCGCTCCTGCAGGGCAGAGCCAACCAACGTCGTCTCCCCGCAGCCCAGGGGCGATTGCAGGCTTGTCCACCCCACTTCCCCACCAAATCGCGGACCAGAGACTCGGCGTTTACTCGGCCTCCTCACATCTGGCCTCCTCCTCCCTCCCCACATCCGGCAGGTGCTTCAACCCGAGGAGGAACCGGGTGATTATAGAGATCCCAGCCGACCGGCAGCCGCTGGGAGAGGTGGGCGGGGCACCTCCCCAGTGGGCAGCGCTCCGGGTCAGAATTACAGGTTATGGTTGCTAGGACGGCAGGGCCAGAGGCATTCGGTCTCGCGGCCGCCACCGGCGCCACCGTGGCACTTCGGGCTGGGGGCGGGGAGAACATTCCTGGAGGCCAGTCCTCCGTACCGGGGGTCTGCCAGGCCCCGCCCCGGCCTGCCCCCAGCTGCTTACAGAAACCGCGCTGCAGTCCAGTTTGTAGGGGGCGGAGACTGAGCTTTGCAGCCAGGGAGGGGACGTTATTCAGTCAGGCTCGTTCCGGAAGGACCTGGCCTGGGGTGGACACCGGCCTCTCCATCAACCGCGAAGCTAGTGGCCGGGCCTCGGCCTCTGGACCGCCCAGGAGGACTGGCTCCGCATGCGCACTGGGTGCCGGGGAGTCGAGCTCTCGGAAGCGGTCAGAGACTCTCTCTCCTGACCTGAACGCAGCCAAGCCCCTTCATTTAAGGGTTCCCTCGAAGGGCTCTACTGAGGTGGCCGTACCCAGATACACAAGTCACCCTAGTCTCTAAAACGCAGAAGAGTGAAGAGAAGCAAACTTCACGCGATGTCTCGTAACTGTCGCGAGAATCAAAACAGGAAGGAAGTCTAGGAATTCAGAACAGGAAAAGCCCGCGGGTTTTAAACCGTAAAAAGAATGGGTGGAGCCCGGTAAGGCTTATAGTTGTGGGTAATTCCTTGTCCTTGGCCCTGGGGGGCAACTGAGAGGGTCGACCTGGGGCAGAAGTGAACTGTAAGAGAACTGCGGGAAGCCCTGAAAAAAAAGGGGGATGGGGGACTTGAAATTGCGGAGCTGACTGATGGAGCCACCCAAGGACAGGTCTCTGGCTCTGGTTTACAAAGTACCATGAGGGCTGAGATCGATGTACGGGTTACAGAGCGGAAGCAATCCGGGATCTCTTAATGAATTGTTACCGGCTTCTAAAACCAGGAGCCAATATTTAAATAACAAAGTCCACAGATCTAGAAACTCTTCACTTACCCACCTTGTTGTAGCCGGTTGTTTACTTTCAGTCTCTGCTGTGCTCTTTACGTCTGGTATTAGGAATTGTGACTAACTCACCACTGTATCTTGTGAACCTAGCCCCTCTCCTGGCAGCACAATAAATTGTCGGTAAATATTTGTGGATTAAATGTGAAAGACTTTTCCTGAGTGTAAAAGTCAAGTTTAACGTGGATTTTCGGAGTCGCTGACGAAGGCTGGATAGACAGGGAACGAGCGCCCTCTGGTGGTCTTGCGGTTGGTGACGAGAACAGGACCATGCATACAGTAGGCACCAAAGTTGTTGATTCTACAGGACATCTTTTATTAAGTAAAGATTTGTTTCAGGAAAACTCCACATATTGTAAAAATACGTTTAGAAGGGAATTTTTTGCATAAGACACAATTTGAAAGTTTAGATACTTTCCCAGATCCCCATCATCTGACACTTTATCCACTAAGGCTCCAAAACACATTCAGTAACATCTATTCGCATCGTAAATAGTAAATAAATAAATAAATTTGCATACTTACACTTTGAAAATGTTGACTTAGTTTGACCGGATCATGCAAAACTGTTGGGCCACAGGAAAAGGATTCTCTTAATTCAGATGATGTGACTACTGCAAGGAAAGAAGCGAGGTGGCAGCATCCTTTGCATGGGCATGAGGGAGACTAGATTCAGGTGAGGAGGGTGAAGTTAAAATTTGTTGAAGAACAGATAATCCTGCCTCTTTCCTCTCCTTACTCTTTCCTATAGATGCTTGTACTGAAGAAGGAATGGGGTATAGAATATAGTTTGCTTTCCACTGTGAGCCATAGCCTGGAGTTCATGGTTATCATACCTTTACTTTCTTTCAGCCACTGACCCATGAGATAATTGTTAAATATAATGACAGAATGAAATGGGTGCTAGACAAATGAACAACATAAGATGAAACACAGCATAAAGGATCAGTTTGGTAAGAAATTACTTGGGAGGACCCACACATTCTAACCTGTCACTTCTTGAACCCTATTTTGACACAACTAGTGAAAATTATAGGGTTGCAACTTTGGAAAAAGCAGAAGTGAGATAGATGGTCCAGATTGACCCATTAGAAATGGATACAGAGGAATTGTGCTTCCAGTGAACATTAGAATCAGTTAAGTTAAAAAAGTCTCAACATAAATAATTAAGACGGAATACCTTGTAGCTACCTACTACGATAAATTGGTGAACTCGGTCAAAATGAAAAATACATGTTGGAAAATAGAGTTAAGTGAAGAGGAGAAGTATATGAATACTGATGACAGCTGTGTAAATATTATATATATATCATCAACAAACACCCTAAGAGAGTGTGGAACAAGGCAAATGGTTGAGTATAATGCGCACAATCCTTTATTTTGTAAAATTATTTTTCATAATAAAGTAGAGACTACTTTTATAGGTAAATTAGGATGTTGAGATAAACGTAGAAAGTTGGGCTAACCAGGTGGGAAGATAAGCATTATAATTCAGCAACAAAAAGCATTACCAAATGAAAACTGGAACACCCAGCAGACTAGCTCTCTGGAATACCAAAACATTAAGGCAAGTTGAATGAGCTTTGTGACATGCAGAAAGAAATCAGGTGAAAATGTTCTTCAGCTTACTTTTCTTGCACAGGAGGCAACTCCTTCCCCCAGGCTCCCAGTTTCCCATCCACCTCTTTTTTTTTTTAATTAATTAATTTATTTATTTATTTATGGCTGCATCAGGTCTTCTTCGTTGCTGCGCACGGGCTTTCTCTAGTTGCGGTGAGCGGGGGCTGCTCTTCATTGCTGTGCACAGGCTTCTGACTGTGGTGGCTTCTCTTGTTGTGGAGCACAGGCTCTAGGCACATGGGCTTTAGTAGCTGTGGCTCGTGGACTGTAGAGCACAGGCTCAGTAGTTGTGGCGCACAGGCTTAGTTACTCTGTGGCATGTGGGATCTTCCCAGACCAGGGCTCGAACCTGTGTCCCCTGCATTGGCAGGCAGATTCTTAACCACTGCACCACCAGGGAAGTCCCCCATCCACCTTTGGGATGGAAATCATAGCTCCATCTGACCTAACAATGTGGCCACATTTTGTATTGATAAACTTAGAAGTGATGTAAAATCATTGACTCTTTCTATATTTCTGTTCTCTTTGTTTTTAACCTTTTTTTTAAATTTTGAAATATAACAGACAAGCAGAAAAGTGCACAAAATAGATATAGAGTTTGATTAATTATTACAAAATAAACACTCCTGTGATCATCATCCAGGTCAAGAAATACAACATTGTTAACACCCCCAGAAGCCCCTATCATGATTAAGCCCTCCTTTTCCCCCTAGATAACCACTTCTAAACTCTATATTTTCATTTTACCTGGTTTTGACTTTTATATAAGTTAGGATACACCTAGGAATGGAATTGCTGCTTCACATGATATGCATGCATTCAACAGTAGTTACTACCAAACCATTTTTCCAAAATTTTTCCCCATTATGCCACATCCTTGTCAACACTTGGTATTGTCAGTCTTTTTAGTTTTAGCCATTAAATAAATATTTTAGAGCCTAAGATTCTAACATGACCCATTCCACAAGGATTTCCTCCCCTGGATTTTCAAAAAACTTTATTTTGAAATAATTTTTAGACTTGTATAGAAATTGCAAAAATAGCACAGAAGGTTCCCATGTACCCTTCACTCACCCTGACCCAATGATAATATTTTATTTAACCATAGTATAATTATCAGAAGCAGGACATTGGCATTGCTACAATACTATTAATTAGTTAATTAATTTATTTATTTTTGCTGTGTTGGGTCTTCATTTCTGTGCGAGGGCTCTCTCTAGTTGTGGCAAGCGGGGGCCACTCTTCATTGCGGTG